ATATAAAGTAAATTTGGTTGTTTTTCTGACACTTGATTTCTCTCACGTCTCATCTGCTTCACTTATTTCCGTGACTGGCTGGCCCTTGTAAGCATCTGAATGAGTAACCCCTAAGCCTCTATGGGATGCGCAGTCATCCTTTGATGAAAGATTGTATTAAAGGGAATGACCTGTATGGCGTCTATAAACAGATTCGGGAAGCGAGTTTGTCAGAGTGTCTCCAGCACTGTCTAGGGGGGAGATGTACCTAACCAGTGGCCTCAGGGATATTGTTACTGTGGAGATAGATGCATCAGTCTTTTCTTAGGTGGATAACAGTGGCCATAACTATCATTCAACTAGCTATCCTTGATCAGATGCTATGCTCACCAAGTAACAGGAACATTATTGATCTGGCCTAGGGGAGAGACCATAATTATCAGGCACCAGAGTATCTTTTCTCCTTAGAAGTGAATTTTTCCTTTACACATTAATAAATTTGCTTTCCAGTTTACATAGCAGCCTCTTGTCAGTTTGGGTGGCTAAATCATTTGCTAGGGCCTTATCGCCCTCAGGTGTAAGAACAGAGTAAGTGTCTTGACCCATAAACAACAGACCAGATCCTGCTACTTATTTATTTGTAACTCAGTGTTCTAAAAATGGTTGGACCATACCCATTACCGTTCAACTGAATTTATGTATGAGTATTTAGAAACAACATTGAGAGACTCCCCTTCCACAATAATTTAGAAATAAAAGTAATCTTCGAAAGCCCACATAAAATGGATGAGCTTAGGCATTGGTGAAGACTTTTGGAGACATTTGGGGATTATTTAAAATGCTAATCAAAATAGCTGGTGAGTAGTTCCAGGAAAAGATGTTTATACTAATGCTTTTTTTTTTTTCTGCTGTATTTTAATCTAATCCAGTGGCTTTACATTTTGAAAAATGTACCTAGCAAGCTAGTTAAATATGAATTTACTGTTAATAGAAGTTACATTAAGGAAGATTGTAGACTGAGCTGCAGGGCTCCCAACCACGGCCTGCAACTGCCCGCGCTTCACTAGATGAGGCACAGGCCAAAAGGGTAATGGCCCTGGTGGGCTTTTCCTCAATAAATTAACGTGAGTTTACATTCTTCTCAGAGAGAATTGGTGTTCTCTGACGTGCACCAATTAATATAAGTTAAGAGACGAAGTAGTTTAATTATATATCACGCCACATAAGGCTTTATAACTTGTACCAAGACTGTCAATATTGGAGTCAATAAAAGTTGAGTGACTGTGAAATAAGATTCTGAACAATTAATTTTAAAACCAGAATAGTATGAAGAGCAAATGGAAGTTATAGATGTATGTAAGTTTATTATATTAGTCCCATTTTTCTGGTTTGTATTATATAAAATAATTAAGTTTTACTTTAAAAAATCCATCATGATTATACTGGAAAGAATGTTCGTACGTGCCTTTTTAGGAATAGTTTTAAATGTGCTGCATTGGCTTTTTAAAACTGGTTGAATTCTCAGAAACATGTTTTAAGTAAATTAAGAATGTTTGTTTTGGGACTTCCCTGGTGGCACAGTGGTTAAGAATCCACCTGCCAATGCAGGAGACAGGGGTTCGATCCCTGGTCAGGGAAGATCCCATATGCCGCAGAGCAACTAAGCCTGTGTGCCACAACTACTGAGCCTGTGCTCTAGAGCCCGCGAGCCACAGCTACTAAGCCGGCGTGCTGCAGCTACTGAAGCCCGTGCGCCTAGAGCCCATGCTCCACAAGCCCGCGCTTGCCACAGCTAGAGAAAGCCCACACACAGCAACGAAGACCCAACGCAGCCAAAAAATTAATAAATAAGTTTATTGAAAAAAAGAATGTTTAAGAGCTTGTGTTGGAAAATGATTTCTTACATTTCTGCAAGAAAAAAATATCTAACTAGCTGTGAGTGGAACAGAAAATCAGACAATCCTGTTTTTTAAAAAATCCTTACTATAGTGATAGTTTTAATAAAACCACAAAGCATTTGTTGGAAAGGATCTTGAAGGTCATGTATAATAGTTAACGTTCTACCAGATGTGTAAATCTCTCTTACGTCACCCCAAATAGTCATGCAGGCTCTCCTTGAACAGTGCCACTGATATTGGATTTATTACCTTTCTACTCAGTTCATAAATCTTACCTTCTGTCTGGTTTTAGAGCTCTTTATGTATATGATGTATGACTTCTACTAGATTGTAGTCTCCTTGAGGGCAGATTCAATATTTAAATCCCTAATATCCTGCTTATAATAAGTGTTTTCCCTGTAACAACGTTCTCAAATGTATTATTATTATTTTTTAAAATATTTATTTATTGGGCTTCCCTGGTGGCACAGTGGTTGAGAGTCTGCCTGCCGAATCAGGGGACACGGGTTCGTGCCCCGGTCCGGGAGGATCCTGCATGCCGCGGAGTGGCTGGGCTGGTGAGCCATGGCCGCTGAGCCTGCACTTCCGGAGTCTGTGCTCCACAACGGGAGAGGCCACAACAGTGAGAGGCCCGTGTACCACACACACACGCACAAAAATTTATTTATTTGGCTGCGTCTTATTTGCGGCATGCGGGATCTTCATTGCGGCATGTGGGCAGCATGGGGGATCTTTAGTTGTGGCATGCGAACTCCTATTTATGGCATGTGGGATCTGGTTCCCTGACCAGGGATTGAACTCGGGCCCCCTGCATTGGGAGCATGGAGTCCCAGCCACTGGACCACCAGGGAAGTCCCATCAAATGTATTATTGAAGTAATCAATCAATAAGTTCTAATTTGGGGACATTCTACTTATTAGAAAATTGCTCCTTAAATTGAACTCTTCAACTTCTGTCAGCTGGTCCTATTCCTTTCTGCAGAGTCTCCCAGCCCAAGGGTGGGGCTTCATCTTTAAGGTGAAGCAGCTCCTTATTATTGCTCCCTTGTTCTTCCCTTCCACAGTGAGGGGTTGGGGCGGGGTGGGGAAGCTGATCTCAGTTGATGGGTTTGTTTGAAACAACAGTGGTATTCATTTCCCTTTGCCGCTGCAAGGTCTCACATTTGACTGGACCTAAATCAACGCCTTTACTCACCAAAGCACACGGGTTCTTTGCTTTGTTTTCTTTTTTTTTCGTTGCAATTCCAGTCATGCTCCATTCTTAAAATTACTTCATGATATCCTGCTCAAGAGAAGAGTTCCTTTCTGGATGGTGCCAAGAGTCAGCACCTGGCTGTGGTAAACACCGAGTCAGTATATAGATGGTAAGAAATAATCACTTTAGGGTGGTTCTATGGTTACAGCACCAGAATTATTGTGAGAGAGGTCCCTCCTCCCCTCAGGAGAAGAACTTACACAAATATCTGTGAATATGACTCTTAAAATTCAAAGCATAGACTGTTTTAGAACCACAAAGGATATTATATTACAAAGTTCAACTTCCTCATTTTATAGACAAGGGAGTCACATTCAGAGTGTATTGTCCTAGGTTAGCTAGCTAGTGGTGGTATGAAAAGCAGAGACCAACACCCTTTATTTCTATTATCTCTCTGTGTCCAGAGTACTTTCTCATACAGCTCTCTTCAGATGTCAAATTAGGTTGTCTTTTCTGTATCATGTACTGTCACGTAAAATTTAAATATAAAATCCACCAGAGGGAAATAAATGCTTTGGTTAAAATGTGTCCTGTGATTTATCATGTAAGGAGCTTAAGGGTATGTATTCAATAAACCTCAAGCAGTAGCATGTCATTCCGTCTATAGCAGCCCAAATACTGACTCTCTAGTGAAAAGAGAAAACCCAATTGTCTTCAAGTTGCCCCTAAGTCATCTTTTTCTCAGAAAATTTAAATTCATTAAAGTGGCAACTAGACATTTTGGAAATATAGGATCATAAATAAATAAAATTGAACTAGTTAATGAAATAATCCAATATTTAACCTGATTAGAGGTAAATAGTCATCAGTACCAAAGTTGAATTCTTGGCATTATTTGTTGTGGGAACACATATATTTGTTATATTGGGATACACATACCAGTTTTACTGTCTCAGTGAGAACAATACGTAATGGTGATCCTTGGATTTCAGAGAATGGGAACCAGGCCTGAAGCTGATTTTTTAAGTGCCTACATGTACTAGAAAAAAAGGAGAATGGAATGAATGAACTTGTAGAATTGCTTTCTTCTCCATAAGTTGTTGAAAGTTATAATTATAAAAATTTGGACCATAGACAAGAATTTACTTTTTTTTTTTTTTTTTTTTTTTTTTTGCGGTACACGGGCCTCTCACTGTTGTGGCCTCTCCCGTTGCTGAGCACAGGCTCTGGACGTGCAGGCCCAGTGGCCAGGGCTCACGGGCCCAGCCGCTCCGCGGCATGTGGGATCTTCCCAGACCGGGGCACGAACCCGTGTCCCCTGCATCGGCAGGTGGACTCTCAACCACTGCACCACCAGGGGAGCCCTATACTTGTGACTTTCAATTTTTCTTTTAATAACAAAATCACTTAAATTCATAGCATTCTATAAGACTTCGAGAGTTTGGTTATAAAAACCATCCAACAAAGTACAAGAAATACAAAACAATATTTAACATAATCCCATAAAATTATCTTTAATAAGCTGTTGTATTTCATGTGGTGAAGGTCTAACCTCTATTCCTCATCCATAAAGTGCGGTGGACAATCTATTCTGCCACCTTTGGAGCATGCTTCTAAGTCTCCAGTAAGATAATTCTCATGAATTATATTGACAACTGAAAAATACTATACCAAAATAAGGCTTACTGAAATTCTGATTGAAACTGACCCAACATTGTCTTATGAACATTGCCTCAAAACCAAACATGTTTATTTCCTTTATGATAAAATTTGTATATTGCACTTTGTAATGCATTAATAATTTCTTGGTACTTCTGCAATATGTAGCAGTAACTATTTCTTTGATAAAAATGTATTAAAGAAGGCTGTTAAAATCAAATTTAGAGGAAGACTTTTGAGCAAATTTAGAATAATTTTACTAAATAGTAAATAATTTTCAATTATTTTACCTTAATTTCTTTTCACCTGAAACAGGAAATCAGTGCAGCTAATTATTTAACTCTCCAAGCCTCACACTTCGGAACAGACAAGATCACCCATATCAACATACCTGGATGGAAATCAGATGGCAATGGCAGCAAGACGTGCAATGTATGATGTGAATAAACGCTTCTTTATACTAGTATGAAAGCTTTATGTTTAATGTGAATGTGCTTTGCAAGGTACTAATGTATTCATGGAAATTCTCCATTCAGTTATTCACATTGTCTGTGTCCCAAGGCCTCAAATGAATTACCCATTTCCCATTTATTTTCACTTATTATGAATCACACAGATTATGATGGAAGATTTTTATAATTATTCTTTGGTAAATTCTCATCTTTGACAAAAGATTGAGTGGTGTGATAAATTTCTCATTTATTTTAAGGAAAACATTTCCAAGTTCACTCCATGAAATTAATTTTCCTCTCCTTTATACCAGGGTTAATAGACTGCTAACGTAGTAAGCAATTAATTATTTATAAGCCATATAGTGTGGTAGAGTCGGGCTGTCTGACATCATATTAGGGTTCTATTTACTAGCTCTGTGGTCATGGGCAAGTTAATTAACCTATCTGTGCCTAGGTTTCCTTCTCTTTAAATGAGTATTAAGTTAGTATATGTAAAAGGGTTAGGACAGGGCCTAGCATGTAGTAGGTTCTCAATACCTGCAAATGTTATTTCTTATTGTGAAATCAGTTGTTCAGGCACCTTGATTTTCTTTAATTCTTACTTTTTAATACTTACAATAAATCTTTTTAGGTGTTCCTAAAAGTAGAAGATGTGAACTGCATTAATTTACACTGGATTAATGGTTTGCTGAAATATATCCACGCTGTAAGCAATGTCCGTGCTGTTGGTGCTGAGATAGCTTATTGTATTGATGTTCTTGTGGTAAGAACTGTTGATTTTTTAAAATTATATTTAACTGACTTTGTATCGTAACACCAAGAATTTGGGGGTAATTCTATGTTCTTTTTTATTAGTTTACACATATACTGAACATGTGAAATAATAAGCATTGGTGTATGATAGCCAAAAAGGGAAGTTACTTCCTGTGAAAGAAGTGCCTGTGGTTCTGCAAAGTGCCACATGGTGGCAGTGTCCCTTCACAGGATCCTCACCAAATCCTTCCCCACCCCCCAAGGTTACTGCCACGGTCAGTGTGTAGGACCATCTCCATTCGTTTTCATCACATTGTAAACCTATCCTTAATGATAGAGAAGAAACTGTTTCTGCCTTATGGATGCTATTTGTGTAGAATGTGAAATGCATTTTCCAGCAGAAACTGGGTTCTATGGCAGTGAATTAGGTCCATGGGCCAGTCCAGGCATGACCCTTTAACCTACACGTTTTCTAAAAGAATAAAACAGACTTTGCTATTTATGAGGGATATACTTTGAGACATTTATAACTCTCCAAAAGCTCTACCATAATAGAAAGTAATTGCACACCGTGAAATGCAGTGAAGTAAAGTCTAAAGATTTATGACGCTTTCTGATTCTTAAGGAGAGTTCACTCCTTCCATCCAGCAACTATTTCACTCTGCACTTGCTGTGGGCCCGGCTCTGTTCTAGGCACTGAAGGTACATGGTGAGTGAGACAAGTGTGGAAACAGTACTGTGGAGAATTCCAAGGCAACGGGAGGGGGCGTGACAGGACCAGCACCTCACTTAGATGGTGGGTCAGGGAAGGTGGCATAGAACGCTGAGCCCAGTTAGGAAACAGCCTGGAGAAGAGTCAGGGAGCCAAATACTCACCTTCTTCTGCCCCCACTTCTCTATCTGCACCCACTTCTCTGCACCCACTTCTCTATCTGCCCCCCAATATATCTGCCCCCCACTTCTCTATCTGCACCCACTTCTCTGTCTGCCCCATTTCTCTATCTGCCCCCCAATTTATCTGCCCCCCACTTCTCTATCTGCACCCACTTCTCTATCTGTCCCCCAATTCTCTATCTGCACCCACTTCTCTATCTGCCCCCCACTTCTCTATCTGCACCCCACTTTATCTGCCCCCACTTCTCTATTTGCACCCACTTCTCTGCACCCACTTCTCTATCTGCCCCCAATTTATCTGCCCCCCACTTCTCTATCTGCCCCCCACTTCTCTGTCTGCACCCCACTTCTCTATCTGCACCCCACTTTATCTGCCCCCCACTTCTCTATCTGCACCCACTTCTCTATCTGCCCCCACTTCTCTGTCTGCACCCACTTCTCTGTCTGCCCCCCACTCCTCTGCCTGCCCTTGCCGCTCTGTCAAGGACACTACAGTACAAGGAAGAGCTCAGAGTGAGTCTTTGTCCACAAAGGATAAAATCAGATTCATCGCCTCTTCAGAGAAAAACCAGTCCTAAGCTTTTGTGAATTTCTTCCTTGATCTTGGGGCCTGAACTGCAGGCTCTTAAAGGTCCAGGAAATAAATAGGAGTGGCTTGTAGGAAGCTGGGAGGAGATTTTGCTGAACTGAAGAGGAAAGTGTTGGCTGACTTTAATGTTCAGTGAATTGTTCGCCCCCTCGGAAGCCCAAGGTGAAAAGCAGGAGAAGGTCTAGGGTGAGGGAGCCTGGAGCCCCCGAGAGTAATTCAGGAGCCAGACCTGCAGAAGGAGCAGCTAAGGAACAGGTAGGAGTCTCTTCCCTGCCCCCTCTTCTGTCATTTTATCACAGGATACCAGGATTAGCCCTGGGGCAAGCAGGTGCCTGGAATAGGGTTACAGGTAGATGGGGAAGGAGGAGGAGAAAGCTGAAGGGGGGTAGGGTGAGAACCAATATCAGACACAGTCTGTAGGGGAAGATAAGAAAGCAAGCAGAGGTTTTAAATGGTGGCAGCAGTGCGGGACAGGGCCCCCTAATGACAGGAGCCACTGGGGCAGCCATTCACATGTAAAAATACTCTTCATAATGCAGCACATAATACTGTCATTACTGGTGAAAAAATAAATAGAAGATTTGATCAAATGACAGATTTATCCAAGTGAAGGCAACTGCATGATTTTCACTATTATGAAGAGAGCCTGAAACTTTGCTGAAACTAAAAAGGTTTGCTCCTTTGTTCCCCATTAAGTTGATTGTGCGTGTGTGTGTGTAAACTCTCAGGCCGCATAGTCTCATTGTGAATATTCTTAAAAACTTTTTCTGAAGGCCAGAGTCATCCCAGACATTTGCTAGGGTTGCCTTAAAGTGGAGAAGACGGACACAGGCAAGGTGGATAATAGCGTGGGCGTGAGCTGCCTTTGCCCTGTGTTGGGGGCGTGCTGGATGGGTTGGGTCTCAGGAGGGATGGGCACAGGCTGGAAGCCACAGCCATGGTCACTGGGCTGTTCTCCTTCCTGCTCCCGAGGACTCTGAGGGCCCTTAGCACAGGGAGAAGAATCTGACAGAAGGCATCCCTCCAGCCCACCTGATGCTCTCTGCTTCAGCTGGATAAGGATGTAGTTGAACGTGGGGTCGCTTTGTCACTTTACCAGTCCCCATCCTGGGTGTGAGAGGGAGAAACATGTCAGCTCCTTTTTCATTTTAAGCCTATTTCAACCATTCTACTGCTCTTTTAAAAATAGTTGTTCTGTTTTCCTTTGAAAAAATCCTATCGGAAAAAATTTGGATATTCGCCTTCTAAAGTGCACTTGATTGGCCGCAGCTTGGGAGCTCATCTGGCTGGGGAAGCTGGGTCAAGGACGCCAGGCCTTGGAAGGATAACTGGCAAGTCAGCCCTGCAGATGGGCCTTGGGTTTGTTTACGTATTTGTTTATGCACAAAATGTCAAGTATCTGATGCCAAACGAAGTCTCAGAAGCAAATGTAAGACAGGAGAAAATGTGACTCCCCCAAACCAAAACCTGAAACGCTTCCAAAGTGTGAGTGTGTAAATCCACGTTCAAGGGGCATTCACCGCAGCGTTATCTGTGGTGGCAAAGTAATGGAAGCTGTGATCATCCACCTGTCGGGGACGGTTGACTGAATTATGACGCACTCCATGCTTTGCAGTTCCATACCAACTAACAACACAGAATGAGATAGAGCCCTGATGATGGTCCTGCTCGCCCAGCGTAGCTGGCAGTGCTGAACTGCTCTGTTTAAGGCCCATGCCGTTGCAGTTGTGAACATTTTGAATATTGCCCCTGGATACACTGTTAAGTCTAAAAACAAATTGCAGAGTGAACCCTATGAATTAGGGTTGTGAGGATGATACTTAATTGTATCCCTTCCCTGCACTCTGACTTTTTAGTGGGACTCTCCCAGACCTTTCCCGTCTTGACCTTCCTTGGCCCCTCTGCAGAATTTGACCCGCGGGCCCCTCTGTGCTGTTGGAACCCCCTCTCCTCTTGGCTCCTGTGGTTCCCCATCTTCTTGGTTGTCTTTGTTCTTGTCTGACAGCTTCTTTCCAGGCTCCCTTGCAGGTGCCTTTTCTTTCGCCTTCCCTTACTCGTTGGTATTCTTCAAGGTTCTATCCTAGGCCCCCTCTTCTCTCCTCTCCTCTTCTCATTCTGTCATTTCTCTCTCCATGCTTATATTAACCAAAAAAATAGAAACAAAACCTGAATCGTATGACAGGCTGCTGCGCTGAGTAATGCACACCCACAACTGTGGTACTTTCATTTCTCACTCATGCCGCATTTTCCCAAAGGTCAGCTGCAGCTCAGCTGAGTCCTCTCCACTCTGGGGCCCGCTCTCCACTTAACAGCAAAGAGACTTTGCTAAAATACAAATCTGACCGTAAATCTCTCCTTCTGCAAACTTGTAAGAGCTGCCCATCGACAACCAGGTCATGTCCAAACTCATCATGGCTCAGGTCGCATCTGGCTCCTGCTTAAAATGCTATCTTCATCTTTCACCAAATTCTAAAACTCTGTGCACCAGCCCTTGAAAGCTAGTTACAGTTTCCCAAATGTGGTTAACCCTCTCGCCTGATGGTCACGTATATTCTCTATCCTCTTCCCAGGTTGCTGCTGACCCCATCTTCACCCTGGCTGGCCTTCTGTTCCCTCACATCTCTGCTTGTATTTCTCATCTCCAGCAGACGCATGTCCTAGTTTCCCAAAATTGGGTTACGTGTTGCTTCTCTGTACTTGCATAACACCTGTGCTCACCTGTCTCAGCATTGAGCACACTGCATTGTAGTGCCTTCCCCACCAAACAGAAAGCTCCTTGAGGACAAGGCTAGACCTTACTCCTTGTACCCAGGTGCTGAACCCTGTTCCTGGCACATAGTAAGTGCTTGATAAATAACTGTCAAACGTGTAAATGAGTTATGTGAATGATCATAACATTTTAAGGACCCTAGATATCTTGCCTGTGTTTTAGTAGACATTTGAACAGCAGACAGTGGGTTGAGAGTCTGGCCACCAGGCTCCTGGTCCATTTTGCACCTAACATATGATGGCCTTGTCAAGTCCTTTCACTTCCCTGGGCTTCGGGCTTTTGTTTTTCTTATAATGAATGGAACTAAGTGAGCCTTAGCTGAGGACTATGATTCTATTATTTTAACTGTGTTGCTTTGAGATCCATCTTTACATTTTGAAGAGCTCTCATCTTTTATTTTTATATTTTTACATATAAATGTTGCTTTTAAGATGGTCTACAATCCTTAACCTTAGTTATATGTATGATATTGCATGTACAGATCCTAGAATAGCCACCTTGACTTTTCTGACTCCGTTAGCTACTTTGGCATTGTCTAGACACAGCCTCACTTGTGTGTAGGAATCCGACATTGCAGTATATACAGACCCTGAATTTATAAATGTAAACAGACCCTACAGTTTATGTATCTGACCCTCAAGCTGAGTGGTGTTTGACCTACATAAATCATATAAGAAAGAATACCTTGCATTCACCATCTATCCTTCCAAAATAACAACACTATCCATGTACTATCAATGTACTTTTGTATATCTTAGTTTAATACACATTATGCTTTTTCCTAGGGTTGGACCCAGCTGGGCCAGGTTTCCACAGCACTCCAAATGAAGTCAGACTGGACCCCTCAGATGCCAACTCTGTTGATGTTATTCATACAAATGAAGTTCGCTTCCTCTTCGAGCTTGGTAAGTTTTTAACACAAACTGAAACTACACTGAAACATGGAGGAGAATTTTAGAAGCGTTTATCCTGCTTTTTAAAATTTCAGGTGTTGGAACTATTAATGCTTGTGGCCACCTTGACTTTTACCCAAATGGAGGGAAGCACATGCCAAGATGTGAAGATTTAATTACACCTTTATTTAAATTTGATCTCAATATTTACAAGGAAGCTAAATACTTTCTAAAATATGAGGACTGCTGTTATAAATTCAGTGAGCTCCCTGCTTGGATAGAATCCATGTCCTTTTGTATATAATATAATATAATATAAAAATATGTTTTAGCCCAAAACACAGTTGCATGTATGAAGTTCCCAGCAGTTGTGAGATCTGCAAGGTCAGGGTCCACGTCTTAGTTACCTCTACAACCCCAGGGTCTAACAGAATGTCTAGCATGTTGTACTCACTCAGTAGGAACAAGGAGGATGTATTCATCCAACAAATATGTATTGAGTGCTTACTATGTGCCAAGCATTATTCTAGGAATAGCAGATGTAGGAACGCATACAAAAGACAGAAGTCCCTCCCTGATGGAGCTAATATTCTAATTTGCTAGAAAAACAAAAATAGAATAAGTGCTAAGAGACAAAACAAAGCATTTAATGGGAATATGATGCGTTGGTGACAGTGGGGGTGACGTAGGGGAAGGAGATTTTTGATAGGGTGGCCAGGAAGTCCTTACTGAAAAGATGACCTGAAGGAGTTAGCCAGTTAGGCATTCCAGGCTGAGGGGTGGGAATAGCAAATGCAAAGGGCCTGGGGCAGGAGCCTGTGAAGTTCATGGCAGTGAGGAGCCTGTTGTGGCTGAAATGAAGTGAAAGACAGGAGAGTAGTAGGACATTAAGTTAGAGAAGGAACGGGGCAGAGGGAGATAATACAGCACCTTATGGACTGTAGTAAAACTGCAGCTTTTACTCAAGTGAGAGGGGAGCCATGGGAGGATTTTGAGCAGAGAGGGACATGGTTTGACTTGCTTTTTAACAGAATCACTCTGAGTCACAAATTAAATTAATCACAGATTAAACAAATAATATTTAACCTTTTAAAGTGGTTTCTAATAATATAATAATAATATCTATAAGGCACTTGGTTATAAGACACCAAAAAGTTATTATTTGGGAGTTCCATTCCTCCCTATCTCTACATATCGTCATCATGTAAATAATGAACTATATCATATAACATATAATAATGCACAGTAATATAACGTATGATGACATAATAAATATCTGGAGGATTCTAAATATCCCATCACCTGATCCCATGTGGTCAGAATAGCTAGATGATGTAATTATTTTATCTTCCATTTGGCTGTTGTAGAGGAAAGACACACAGATCGTGACATTGAGAGTAACTCGACTTTCCTCTTCACTAGAGATAAGTTACAAAGTTTTAATAGCCGTTCTGAAAGAGTAAATGTAATTAGAAATATCTGTTTGCAATGACTACTTAAAAAAAAAAACTGGTGAAACTATGGATACTCAAAATGAGAATTAAAGCCAATTTGACCTAGTGCAGGTAAGCGAAATTCATTCAGAAAAGGCCCATTATAAAACTTATCTCTCTCGTTATTTGCCATATTATAATTTAAAATTAGTTCTATTAGGATAAAATATAGATCATAAGACTCCTTCACATAACTATATTAAGTGTTATATACTGAGCACTTGAAATTCTGTAAAAGAATGAATTCAAATAAAACATACATTTATCATAAGCTATCATTTTGAGATATAATTCCTACAACTTTATTGGATTAAAAGCACATTTATCATTCATGTTAAGTTTTAGATGACTTTTAAGCTTCAAGATATTCTGTTACATTATATTTATTACTAAGAAACCATTTACTTTTAAAATTCATAGCTCCCAATATTCTAATGAACCATCTTGTCTAAATCACAATTAGTTACGAATATAAATCTGTATGTAAAGAAACCTGATGTAAGAGAAGTGCCAATTCTTTATCTCTGCTATGTTGCATTTCTGAAATTATGCTGTCTCAGTTATCTATTGCATAATGAACCATAGTGGCTTAAGAGAATATTGGTTTTATTGCCCATGATTCTAAGCCTCAAGATGCAGGCAGAGTTCTGCCGAGATTCTGCTTTGTGATGTGTCCATTGGACGAATGCATGTGATTGCATCCAGCTGGGAGCTGGGCTGGGCTAAGCTGAGTGGGAAGGTCCAAGATGGCCTTCCACGTCTGGGGTCTTGGTACTAGCTCTCCTCTCTAAGTGGTCTGTTATCCTTCAGAGCTTCTCTCCCCAGCCAGTTAACCTGGATTTCTTAACATGGAGGCTGGGTTCCAAGAAAGCAAGAGTAGATGCTGGAAGGTCTCTGAAGACCAAGGCCCTGGAACTTGCACAGTGTCAGTTCCTCCACTGACTCACACAGTGTCAGTTCCTATTGGTCAAAGAAGTCACAAGACTAGCCTGTAACCCCAATCCAGAAGGGAAAAAAAAAAAACCCAAAACAACTCCATCTCCTGAAGGGAAGAAGAGTAACAAGATATTGCAAAGGGGTGAGGACCCAGGAAGGAGTGATTCTTTGGAAGCCACAGTTATAGATAAGTGACTTACCACATACACTAAAACCAAACTCTGGTTTCTCAAAAGTCAGCCAAGCTGGGTAGGCCATTGGAAGAATAGTCCATGTCAAAGAGTAAAAACATTTTTATGTAAGGAAAAGAGAGTATAAATGACTGGAATGCTATGATAACTTGAGAATGCACAATGTACTTAGAACTTTTATGTATTATTGCAATAATCCTATTAGTAGCAGTAATGTTATGCCTGACAATGGCAAAACTAATTTGTCTGTAGCATTCTTTACAATACCTCCCACCTGTCTCACCTGGAAGCTCGGCTGAAGGTGTGCACTGGTTAACCTTGCTGGCTGTTCTATGACTGAATAGGAGGGAGTTCAGTCACTCCTGCAGAAACAGGGATACGGAGAATTAATTGGTCTAAGGCGGAGATGCTATGTGCACCACGATACTCAGAGCTCTAAGTGCTTACATCAGAGATCTGGGAAGTGTTGGGGATATTAGTGTCAGAGCACAGTCACCTGCATTTGCATTTGTTTATTTATCCTGATTGAATGTCCCTTTAGAGTCACACGAATTCTTTCGTACAAGAAAATGATATGTAATGTTGATAAATGTGGAATATCCAAGCCTACACACAAGGTCTGGTGACCTAGACCCAAGTCAAAAAACTATCATTTAAAATTACTTTTTCTAAGAAATGGTTCATACTATCAGTTAATTGGAAATTGTTTTCACAGAAGTGTTTTCCTTCTTTGATTGCAACCATGCCCGAAGTCATCGCTTTTATGCTGAAAGCATTCTCAATCCCGATGCATTTATTGCTTATCCTTGTAGATCCTACAAATCTTTCAAAGCAGTGAGTAAAACGTTTTGCAGTGTAATTTAATTAGCAAGTCATTTTTTGAAGCATGATCAGCCAACTAAAAATTAGAGCGTTGAGTATGTAGCCAAAAAAAATGCATCTGCCATTTTGGGAAATAATAGATTCTTTCTGTGCTGAGTACTGAACAGTAACTGGGGTTGCTGGAGGGCTTAAATAACTAAACCAACTATTTGTATTCAGGTTGTTGTGGCTCTTTTGAATTATATCCAATTTTGCTGTTTTGGCCATTTGTTCTGCCATAATTAGATGCTACTATCTAAAAGGGCAAAAATTTTTGCGTGTATATATTTTAAATGTCATCCTCAAAGATGCCCCGAGAAGCCTGAACCAATCCATAGCTACAGTGAAACATATTACCATTTACTTGGAACATGAAAATTATTTTTATTAAAATTTAATTATTTATACAGAGCAGAGCTAAGGCGTAGATAGCTCACAGGAGATCCATGCAGTTCAATACATTACAAAATGCCAAATCTCATTTTGCTTGAGTCAGAAAGCACGTGGTCCCAGATCTGAGCTGAACCTATTTTTCATTTGGTTATCGTTGTGAAAAAAGGAGAAAGAAAATCCATTTTGTAGCGGGAAGTGGAAAGGCTTTGCTGCTTGTACGTTAGACTCCTACCCCCTGTTTTATCAGGGAAGAAAAATGTGGGGTTTCCAGCCGAAGTGTGTTGTAAGTGATAGCATTTTGTGAATAAGTACAGCGTTGGGACAGGAATAAGCACTTCCCTCCTTTTACAGAACAAGGTGAGTGAGCCCTCAGACTGTCTTCTCAGTTTCCTGAGCAAGTTGTCCTTACTCATATTGTGGCTGGTGAACTGCTGTTCTTGGAAAGCTTGCCATCCAACCACTGGCACTTCCTCAAAGCCTTCTTCAAGCTCCAGATGCTGCTCTGAATGGCTCAATGGATGCTGACATTTACGACACCAAAGGCAGGTGGAAGGAAGCAGGTTCTCAGAGTCACAGTGGATTCAGAGTTAGTGGGGTTCAATCTGCTAAACTGGAGAACCACAGGCTCCTGTGCCACATGGATGCCGATTATGGCAACAAACTAGAGAACATCAAGTCAATTTCCTTGACATGTTTTATTGTACTTTTACCCAACAGTCATAAAAAATGAGATGAAATTTTAAAAAATAAATAAAATAAAATAAGGAGGGGTTTTAGTGCCAGGCTGTCTGATTCACATTTTTGCTCCATCACTTGATAGACATGCAACATTGGACAGATTGTTTACTTCTCTGGGCTTTAGTTTCCTGATCTGCTAAATAAGGAAAGTAAAAGCATTATAATAATAAGGGACTTTGTAAGGAGTAATTGACCTAAATGCATATAAAGTGCTTCAAACAGTGCCTTGCACATGGTAAGCACTCAATACATATGAGCCCCTGTTATTTTGTTAGTATTTTTATTCATTAAAAATGGAGTTTTAAATGGGGCGTTTTACTATAGTCCTAGCCTAAGTGTCCATGGTTTAAAAATCGAAAAGTTCAAAACCTAAAATAGCAAATACTCCAACACTGCTACCCAGATTGTTTTAAGTTAATATTGTGTTAGTTTTGCTTTAGATTTTAACACATACAGATAAAATTGAAGTACCTTACATTCCTTAATGCCCTTCCCTAAGGCAGACTTTGGAGCAAATCAGTATACATATATCATATAAATAGTATCATACTGTATCTTTCTGAATTTGTTTTTAAATTAAATTTTATAAATTTAAGATCTACATTGATGTTTATAGACCTATTGCATTTATTTCGTAGGAATCTGCCACAATTTATTTATTCATTCCCCTACTAATGTGCATTTTGGTTGTTTGCAGTTTTTCTTATTAAACGCGATTTTGCAATGAACACCTTTGCATATCGCCTTATGTGCTTGTGTAGAAGTTTCTTTATGACATATAATAGAAGTGAAATTGTCAAAGCATTATGTGCATTTCCATCTTTATTAGACATTACCAAATGTCTGTCTGCAATGTCTGTTAATTTATATTCCCATAAGAAGCAAATGAGAATTCCCCACTCCATGTCTTACCCATACTTGGTATTGCCGATCGTCTTAATTTTTGTGAATCTGCTGAGTATGAAATTGTATGTTGCTTTAATTAGCACGTTCCTGACAACTGGTAAGATTGAGTATCTTTTTACATAATCATTGACTATTTGAGTTTCCTCTTCTGTGGATTGTTTATTCATATCATTTACTAATTTTTCTAACAGGCCCTTTTTCTTTTCCCTCAGTTGTTTTTGTTTTATTAAGTTTTGTTTTTGCAAACAGGCAGGATGGTCTGTTAGGCAACTTAGTCATTTTTAAATGCATATATACTTTATTTAGATTCCAAAAATTTCTGATAGTTTAATAATACATCCTGAGTTTATTGAAGGTGAACATTTCTAATTACCTCTTATTTTCTGTCACCAGGGAAATTGCTTCCGTTGTCACAAGGAAGGTTGCCCAATGATGGGTCATTTTGCTGATAGATTTCACCTCAAAAAAATGAAGCCTAATAGATCGTATTATGTTTTAAACACAGGGACTCTTTCCCCATTTTCCCGTAAGTATTGTAGCTGAATTTTATTGTAATGCTTTAAGGCACTTATCTTTTAAAATTCAACAGTTTTTACTGAGTGTCTACTAAATAAGTGGGCATTGGGCCAGACTCCGAGGATGCAGTGAAGAACAATGCAGTGAGTTTAGGCCAGGGGGAAAGCAAAAAAAAAAACTTTCTTTTGGGAGATTTTCAAAGGAGGAACTTCTGCAACCAGATCAGGGGAGCCTTCTGAGGGGAGGTGATTTCCAAGCTGACTCCTGAAAAGTGAGTAAGAGGGAGAAGGAAATGGAGTATTCCAGGTAGAAGGAACTGCATATGAAAATGCCTGGAGATAAGACAGAGCTGGAACTGAAAGAAGATCCCCCTGCTTGGATTGTAGAGACCAGGAGGACGGTAACACGAGACAAAGGTGGGAGAGGTAAATTGGATCAAATAATGAAATTGTGCTCCATGTGGGAGGTTTGGGCTTTATCTTTGGGCAGGTAGAAGCAAAAAGGAACTGGGTGAATGGATTTGAGGGATGCAGAAAATGGAGAAGTCAAGGATGATTCTAGGTGGGTGGATGATGTGCCGTTTGCTGAACTTGGTAACACAGGCAGAGAGGCTGGTTTGGAGTAAGTTGATGGCTCAGTTTCTAACATGTTAGGTCTGAGATGCCCTTAGGACTTGGGCGTGTACAGTTAGATATGGGTCTCGGCCTCTGGAGATGTGGTCTACGGTTACAGATTTAAGCATTTAGACAGTAATCTAAGCTATGAAAGTAGACAATGTAATTACCCAAGAAGACTGTGTCAAATGAGAAGAAAGAGAGCAGAGAAAGAGGCCCCTGTGAAGGAGACTGAGGAATGAATAGAGAGAAAATACAAAGCTGTGTGGGAGCTAGGGCAAGAAAGATGATGAGGAAGGGAGGGATTCACTGCACCAAATATGCTAAAAGGTCAGATGAGACGGGGGCCCAAAGGGGCTCTAGGGGTGAGCCACCAATTCCGTCATTGCTGAGTTTGGGGTTTCAGTGGAGAGGTGACGGTGGGAGCCATACGGCAGTGGAATGGGCTGAGGAGGGACAGGGAGCTCTTTGGCAATGATTAACTCACAGATTGAAAATTCTCTCTAGTAAAATTTTTCCCCTTTCAGAGGCTTTTCAGACAATTTTATGAAGAATTGCATTTTTTTTTCTGTGTTATTAAGCATACAACAATTTCAGAATTCAGAATAAAAGATCTGTTTAGCTCTAGATTTTTTTTAAGTTACGCTTGACCATTTGCAAGGGCTTTATCCTATTGACAGGCTTTGTGCTGACCCAGACCTGTATTGGCTGGGCATTCCTAGTACATAGCCCTGCAGGAGAGGAAGGGACAGTTTACTTTGCCTCTAAGTCATTTTAAAAGCACAGACCTGGGCTTCCCTGGTGGCGCAGTGGTTGAGAGTCCGCCTGCCAATGCAGGGGACACGGGTTCGTGCCCCGGTCCGCGGAGCGGCTGGGCCCGTGAGCCATGGCCATTGAGCCTGCGCGTCCGGAGCCTGTGCTCCACAACGTGGGAGGCCCACATACCGCAAAAAAAACAAAACAAAAACAAAACAAAACAAAAAAAACACAGACCTTATTGCTCAATAGGTTTTCTAGATTTTTTTCTGGATTAGTTGTCAAACTATGGCAAATTAAAACTTGGCTACAGAAAGCGTACATGCCACAGATTACAAATTTAATGGATGAGAAAAGACACACACATTTTCTTAAAGTTATAAAAATGTCTGGAAAATTAAAGAATTTTCTTTAAAAAATATTGTTAAGCTATTTACATTTACAAAATCAAAATGTGAACGTTTATATGTTTTTTAAAATATAATTTCTCACCAAATTCACTCGAGCTATATAAAGTTGTATTTTTTCATGGACGTGAACAGCCCTGTTCCACTTTAACCTTGAAAGTTGTATTTACGTTAAAGTAGCCAGGATGTCATGCTTTCCGTGTGTTTTAACCCTTCTTTCTCTTTATTTCCAGGTTGGAGGCACAAATTGTCTGTCAAACTTGATGGAAACCATGTCACTCAAGGAAGCATGTTTCTCCATGTAGGTGGAACAACAGAGAAGACAGGGGAGTTTGGGGTTGTCAGGTAGGTAAGGACGAGGACCTGGCAGGTAACAGTGCTGCACTCAGTTCTCAGTTCATCTGGCTCAGTAAGGCTCAGTCTTTTCTTTTCCTACAATACCACCAGCTATCTTTTCTTTTTACTTTATATTTTCCAAATATAAAATAGAAATAATAATATCTACAGTTCCAGCTACAAACAGAAAATGTTAGGAAATGATAACATGAAAATACAGATCTAAAGCAAGGGGAAAAAATTGACGGGAAACAAAATATATTTTTAATCCAGTCCATTAGTGTTATACAAATTTGGGTAGATCTCTTTTATTTTTATAGATTCCATACAAATTAAGACATTTATATAAATTGCCAAATTTCTAATAAGCTTTCTAAGTAGTACCCACAGGTATATGCTATATGCTGGGACAGTCAAAGGGAGGAATAATTCAGTAGAGACATTCACTGTGCACGTTGGACTGAAGTCCCCTTTTATCTTGAATTTTCCTTAATATTTTCTTTGATCAGCCTTAGCATTTTTGTATTACATCTTTCATTTTCATTGCTTAATTTGGCAATCATTTCAGAATTAACATTATACATACTAATTAGAGGTTAGCGTTGTGCAAACTGATGAACGGATTAGATGCATTGCCTCTGTGAGTTCCGTCATCTTCAAATACTGGGCAAAGGCACAAAAAGCAGGGATTTTATGGTTGTCCGTTGAGGGCTGCTTCGGATCAACCGCTCTGGCAGCATCTGTGCTCATCATCTCACCTTGACGCACCTGCCTCTAAAGATGGGTACGGTCAGTGATTGTCTTGATTCTGGTTCATGCACAGGCTCCAGCCCGTGGCTTCTAGCCCTGCCTCCTGCCGTTTGGCTTCGTTCATCTTCAGCTCAGCCACGTTACCCTGATTACTCCACCCAGCATTAAATAGATCCCCCCCTTTCCTCCCTTCCTGACTTTATCCATGCTGTTCCATGTTCCAAATACCCTTCCGTGTCTTAGCATGTCTCATATCCACTTGCTTTTCATATCTCCACTAAGCTATTCCTCTGAGAAGAGTTCAACACCATCTTGTGTCTGTGGCTCTGAGGCCCACAGTACACTCGCTGCCTAAGGCTGTGGGCTTTGTGTCCTGCCCAAAGGCAGCTGACGTGGGGCAGGTGGAGAGAAAGGTGCAGTTCTTGCCCCTTCTAAGATTTGTGACAATGTTTTGACATCTCTATACTTCTTTTGCTAATGTCTAAAGAAGCTATTTGTAATGTCCTTGCATAGTTATCCAGTCCTCTTTTTTAAGAATAATTAAGCATTTCAGGTCCACAGGAGATGTCTTATCTTGAAATGAAGCCACTAAATGAATTTGTATGCTAGTCTATTCCCACTCTTCGGTCAACCTTTAAGAGTCTGGCGTCACCGTAGATTATATTTTAGTTATTTGGCCTTCCAATGACACTGTCATGAAGAGCTGCACTGTGTGTGCACTGTGTGAAGGCAGTTCATGGGGCAACAGGGAAATTACCCCAATAATCTGGAAGAAAAGTTGTCTTCTGGTAATTAAATCAATTAATTTTACATGTAATGGAATAAGGCCCTAAGAATAGCAACATTCATTCGTTCACTCATTCAACAAACGTTCAAATGCCTATTATATACCGGGGATTGTTCTAACTTGCCGGAGAAACAGACACAGGTCCTACTCTCATGGAGCTTACCTTCCAGTTAGAGGAGACAGACAATGCATCAGCAAAGGAATAAGGAAATAGCAGCAATAGAGAAATCTCATCTGGTCTAATTTTGGCGTGCATAAAATATGCCTTATGTCTCAAGATAATCTACTTCTCTCTGCTCTATTTCCACACTCACCAAAACATCATTTTTATCATTAGTTTGGTTACCCAATTCTTTTCATACAGATGAAGAAGGTACCAGGGAAAGGGTAGGAGAACATTTTGGTTAATAAAAAGGAAGCATTTCCCCATTGTGAGCTGATAAACAGGCTTCTAGTTCTTATATGAGTTTTGTGTGAATTTAGTCTATCATTGGTAGTTTGATCATTTCCTGGTGTCAATAAAATCTAGTTTCTGATGCCACAAAGCCAAGACCAGATCTTTTATTATGGAGTACTCATCCCCTAAAAATCACCTAGTCAAGCTTCCCACTTGCCTAACCCTTTTTTCAAGCTTCAGAATCACGCTGTTCTAAGAGGCTGACCAAAGTGAATGGAAAGAATAAATCTCCTATAAGCAAATGCCAGAAAATGAAATTTTCTCTTCCATGGTACACAGAGATGTTGTCTTCAACTTCAGCATTGTGAATACCCGGTGCAAGCTTATGAGTTTATTTTTCTCTTTACAGTGGAACACTGAAGCCAGGCATGACTTATACAAATTTAATTGATGCAGACATTAACATTGGAAACACTGCAAATATTGAGTTCATTTGGAAGGAGCTTTCATTTGAACATTCTCAGAATAAGCTGGGAGCAGAAATGGTGATAGATATATCTGGAAAATATGGATATGAGTAAGTCTTACTTTTTCCTTTGCACTTTCAAACATAGTTTAAACTTTGCAAATGACATTTAAAACCCATATATAATTTGAAATTTGAAAATAGTATAAAAATTTGTGCCATTGAAAGTTTTCAATTAAAGAGATAAAAATTATTTAAGAAACCAATACTATATTTGTGAAAGTGTTTGTAAAATAGTAACTACTCATTAATTAGAAGACCTACCTATGTCTTCCACCCCACCTACCCTGGAATCATATTAATATCCTCTTTTTTCCCCTTTAAATTTTTCAGATCTGCCTTCTGTAGCTAGAACTTTGTAGGACCTAATATTGCCCAGATCCTGAAACCATGCTAATTCCAGATATAATCTCAATGGATTTACTTAATGGGAGCAATGGAAAAATTAAGCTGGTATCCAGACCAAGCTTGGCCCTTGTAAACGAGATAGAAATGTATAGTTGCCTTTTTTCTATATAGAATATTTTTCTTATTGACAAGCTTTTATATGTCCCTTAAAACCAGACTGAGCCCTGGGATTCTGGGTTATCAGTGACAAAATAGAGCTGAGTTAGTATTTCCCTGAATAAGAGGAGTTGTTACAAGTAGGTGGTGTAAACTCATCAGAAAATGAGCCTCTGTCTGGTTGAGTGTTTGAAGTACATTTAGAGTATTTCCAGGTGGAATAATCCTTGTTCTAAAATGATTTGAAGAATATTTACTATGTTGTTAAATCTCACTAAGACAAATTATGTCTATAGTTCATGATGTATAGTAGATGATAACCCTGTGGGTTGATACATCTATCGATTAATAATAAAAACTAATGAGAGCGCGTTAGTGTTTGCAAGGTGTTCCTTGGTCTTCAGGGAGTGTGTGAGGTAAGAGATTTTGGAGCTTATCTATGATGTATGTCTCAGTTAGTAATGGGCCCTGAGGATCATCAGCCCCTCCTTCTAGAAGCCCCCACCACAGAATTACTCATCTCCCTGGGCCTTGAAGGTCCCATTGCAAATTTTTATTTAACCTGAAAGCAGCATTTCATTTCTAAAGCCCTTGACTAATCCTTTGTGTTTATAATAACAATATTGTAATATTTAAATGTGTCATTTGTGTTTTTTCTTTTATTTTGCTTCAATTTCGTCTAATTCAGTTGTCCTCATCCAGTGAAAATAAAAGATGAGTGTTTTTATTTGTTCTGTTCTCTACCACTGGGCTCAGTGTTTGGCCCATAGCACTGTGCTATGAATACTGTTGAAAAGAAATGATGACAGATACTCTGCAGAGGGTTTCTTGATTCTCCTTGTGCCTTGTTGCCAACTGAACCTTAAGAAGAGACCCATGGGTGTACGTGAACTTGAGTTGTGGCAGAAAGCAGAGAACAAAGTGGGGTGACCTTCCCGCTGAGCAAGGAGGAGATAGAAGGTTGATTGGAGAGCAAGGCTTAGTGGAAGGAGGAGAGGAGATCAGGGTGTGTTTGGCGTGATCCGGCTGAGCATCCTACCTCCCTGGTGCCACATCAGCCTGAGGCCCACACCAGCCCAGGAACAGGGAGGCCATGAACAGCCCTGTAGGAGGCTCCGAACCCTACTGAGTAACTGCATCGCAGCCCCAGCACTCCTGAGCAACCTGGCAGTGGAGTTGGTCCATGGCTCTGGGGGATGGAAACCTGTTAGAGCAGCTGCCCCGGGCCTGCACTGCTCTCTGCTCAGCCTTTCTTCCTTTCAGGAGGGGGCTGCCAACTGGGAGGAAGAATTATGAATCAGGATGCTGCACTAGGCTCTGTGTGTCCTGGCTTGCTTCCTTGTTCGAGGGGTCTCTGGGCTGGCTCTTTCTAAGCTTGAAAAGACAAATTGGAGTCACTTAACTTCTGGGAACCCTATTTTAATAAACTATAGGCTTTCTGTCTCATTGTTCTTAATATCTGTCCCCTTTTTTGCATTATAAGAATGTCATATGAAGAATAGTGCATGAGCTATCCAGGCAGATCTGAAAGTTCAAGGTGACAACATTATTTTCTGTGTGTATTGCTGCCTAGGAAAGCTCTTAAAAAAATGATTCCCTTGCTCTCTGAGTGCCCAGCGTTAACTATAGCAGAGTAATGGGGGCAAAGGCTGTTAGGAAATTCTTCTGCTTCTTGAGCGAACTGCCCTTAATGCTGAAAAGTGACTTCCAATCCCATTAGCCATCACTTTCTCCACTGCCCATTGCCATCAGTTCACACTCGTACCTCGTCATCACATTACCCACAAATGCCCTCCTCTAAACTTGCACATGGGAGCATCCCCCTCTTGGACCACAACTGCTTTCCCTTCAGGCCGACGGAGTGAACTTCTCAGTCCTTGCAACTTCTGTTCCATTACCTTTCTACTTTCTTGAAACCCACCAACCCATTTCCTTTCACACCCAGCTTACGTTGCATGATAATTTAGTTTAGTATTAATGCATTAATAATGCTTATTAACACCCTAAACTCCCTTTTTTTTTGCATCCTGTTGGGCAAAACCTCAACCGGAGCACACCCAGTGTTCCTCTTCCTCTAGGCCAGCACTCAAATAGTTGAGGGCTACTGGGACAGTCGTGTCTCAGAGAAGACATGTATAACTATAAACTGATCATCAACACTGTCCTGAAATTCTACCTGGTTTTTTGTTTTTTGTTTATGTGTCTGTTTTTCGCTTTTTAACACCTCTTACCCCAAACTCTCCACCTACTTTATACAGAAAACAGAGGTCATCAGAGAGCAAATCTCTCCTCTTTTTAATCCAAACATGTCAGTTACTTACATCTGCATCCATTTTATCCTTTTTCTTTCTGATAAGGAAGCTGCCTATCTCCCACCCAAGGCCAATGCTTGCCTCTGTGCTTTGGATCTCACTCTCTCTAGCCTTCTTGGGAATCCTATCCTATTGGTTACATTTTCTTTCCTTTGCACATTCAAGCTCTCATTGCTTTAGATTTTTTAAAGTCTAAGTCTCTCCCATTGGGGGAAAACAGTCATTCTCAACCCTGTTTTCCCCTTTAGTCCCATCTGACCTGAAAATAGCTCTCACTCACTTTTCCAGTGACTGCCAGGTACGAAGTTGAATGGGAAGTTTTACTCATTTATTCCATCCCTCAACAGAACTCAGCACTGTTTTTTCTTTTTACTTTTTGTTGTAGAAATTTTCAAATATTCACAGCAGCAGAGAAATTGGTTAAATAGAACTCCCAAGAACTCGTCAACGAGTTAAATGATTTTCAGATTTTGCCAATTCTGTTCTAAGTGTGTCCACAAACACACACCCCCTGTTTTTGTTTTGTTTGTTTGTTTTTGCTGAACTATTTTAAACCAGATCCTACGTGTGATACCATCTCTCCCATTTACATATCAGTATGAATCTCTAAACAATAAATTTGTTGAACATAATCATAATATCTATTTTAACAATAAGTTTTAAATGAATTTAAGGTTAACCAAAAGAATTAACCATAATTCCTTAATATTATCTTACATTCAATTTGTTTTTAAATCTCCCAGATTGTCTGAAAAAGCTCTTTTCGGCAGTTGGTTTGTTTAAATTGGGATCCAAGCAAGATCCACAAATTGCATATGATTAATGTGTCCCTAAGTCTCTTTTCATCTATAACAGTTCCCCTCCCCCTTCTTCCACACCAGTTGTTAAATAAACCAGGTCACTTGTCCTGCAAAATTTCTCACATTCAACTGATGGGATCCCCTTGGTATCATTTAGTACATTCCTCTCTCCTGTGTATTTCCTGTAAACTAGTACTCAGGTCGGGACACTTGATGGGATTCGGGTTCCCGTCAGCTGGGCAGTGGGGATTGACCCCCTCCACGCGAGATGGGTAATTTCTACACCTTACTTACAGCTCTCAAGTTAACTGGTGATCTTTTATTCATTCAAAGGATTATATATGTACTCACTTTATAAATTTGAAAGGGCTATACCAGTTAGAGTTGTAGGTAAAACAAAATACTGATGGGCTTCAAATCTAGTTGCTAAATGGCAGGCTAAGAGGAGAAAGGTGACTTGAAGAAGGTTTACTAGGGTTTGTGCTCCAGGAAGATTGGAGGAAAGGGGCAAATTGTGTAAAGATCCAATTACAGAAGAGGCACTGAACTCTGCACTATGCCTAGGGCTGGAGGAGGTGGGTCATAAATGTTCCTGCAGAAGTTGAGGAATATTCAGATACCTGGTGGAGTTGTGTGTCTGTTTCCCCAGGCTCCTCAGATCAGAGTGAATAATAGAAATTACCCTGCTTAACAGAGCCCTCAGGTTGTGTTGACTCTGCAGCTCTTCAGAACAAGCAGGGGGTCTCAGGAACAGAAGTATAATTTATGCCAAGTTATTGTTTCTCAGCCTTTTAAAACCTAAGCTCATGTTAGATAAACATAAAAATCTCGTGTTCCTCCTGGGGTCTTTACTCCTACACTTGGGAAAATCAATCTTTTTTCATATACCCTCTGGCCAAAAAGATTTCGTAAATCTTTACTTTCTGCAGATTGTGTAATAAAAATGATAGGTGTGTTTTCTGTTATGTTTTGTTTTTTTTTTCCCCAAATGCATACTTATAATACCAGATGGGCTTCTTTATTTTACACATGATTCTCTAAGAGTTCTGCTCTAAATGATTTAAGTCTTATACTCAGGAGAGTGGAGTCTTTCTATTAGATTTCTCTCCAATACGAGAGAATGTCTAAATGTCTATATAGACTGGGCCAAGATTTTTGGTAAATGCTTTGTCCCATATACAGTCTATTTTCAAAGTTTGAGTTTTGCAAATAGTTAACCTTTCCAGCGTCATATATCTTTCTTTTCTTTTCGGAGGCTTTTTTTCATTCATTCATTTAAAAAACATTTATTGTGTTACCCCTATGTGCCAGGCATTGTGCTAAGTCATAAGGTTATATGAAAAACAAGAGATAGTCCTTACTCTTGAGGTACACATAGCATTGCAGAGGACACAGGAAAATAAATCCTTGATTATAATACATCATGACAAGGACTGTGATAGAAGCAGGCACAGGGGTGAGAGTGGCATAGAAAAGAGCCAGCTTACTCAACTACTCTCACACCTTCATCCTTCACTCACTGATAATGATAAAGAGAGAGAGCAGTAGGTTTTCATTTCTGAATTCTGTGGTTGTCATACATACTGTTATAAGAGATTCCATTTGGAATTCAGTGTACTTTATTTTTCCAGTACCTGTGGTCCTGGAGAAACAGAACTGACATTTCTCTCAAACATTCACATATAAATCTATCCATCAAGGATCTACTGATTGTCAACTGTGGCCAGAGGAGCAATAATTTCCTTGAGGGTCCCAGGAGGAGGGAGCAAAGGCCATGCCCAATAGATTTAGGATGACGCTAACCAGAGCATGACTAATCCACTCATCTTGGGCTCCTGTAAGACCCAGTCCAGTGGTCCTAACGGAGTCAACTGCAGAGCAATGCCTATGCATCATGAAGACAGATGCAATTACCAAACTTCAATCCATCATTTAGGAATAACCACAGCAAACCTAAAATTTAAAATAGCTTAAGGCTAGAGATTTGTGTGTGGAGATGAGAATACCACTTAAAAGTAAGGGAAACAGCATTTTTTCCGGACTTTTACCTTGAAGAGCATGTGGGCAGCAGGTGATGCCTCTGGACGCTGTTCATTAATATGAGGTAAGACTCTCAAGCTCTTTGGTTAAATAAGAATTCTATTCAAATCATAATACCTCATGCAAGAGTGAGAAAAAGGAAGTGTTAGTGACTCCCTTCTGGATTAAAATGAAAAGGTATGCACACTTGTAGCTTCTGGAAAGCAGAAAGGAATTTAAATTTTATCTCTACAACAAAACATTTTTAAGTCAACCAGTCAAAATTAGACCTTTCACAGGATGAGGTTTACTTTCATGGGATATAACATCACCATCTAAAGTCCAGGTGTTTGACTAACATTTTCATTATACACAATGCCATTTGCTTTTTCTCCCAAGCAACAAGGGAAAATGCCACATTTTCCCTGTATTATTTGCAGAGGTTTCTTTTACCAGCACTTACGAAGCCTTGTGGATTTTCAAGGACAAAAACTATAACTCTATTGGTTATCACAAAGAGAAAGACAAGCCCAAGGAGTCCAAAACACACAAGTTGGAAAAAGAAAACTAGAAAACAAAT